TAAACAAAAACACTTCCCCCCCGCCCTTAGTTTGGAGTTAAATCATTGATTCAGTGAGCAACTTCTTTCTTCCCTCTCCTTTTCTTTTCCCTCCCCTCTCCTAAAACTACTGAACTGTGTACAGTAGGTCGGCCTGTATAAATGCTTTTTTGCGCTTCATTTCAGATGCACTCTGCGCCCGGAGACATGTGCGTTATTTATCCAAACAGGCACATCAGACTGGAAGTGCACTTTGCCTGTCATCTGCATGTAATCAGCCAAGTGTGCCTTTAACTTCGGGGAACCAGATAAGTGCGGCTGAGTATGCATCTTGCAATTAGCATGGAAATTTTCCTAGCTTCCAGGAGAAGCTACAAATTGCACAGGTGTAATAAAAATGAAGGTTGAGATTGGGAGAAGAGAAATTTGTAGTTGTCGGTATTTCACGAGACTTCTCTCCCCTCCGCAGACAAAGTGTACTTTACCTTCCCGGGGAAGATAAATAACCACAAGACCCGACCAATTTATAAAGTCGCAGAAAGAGTGGATGGAGAGTTGTGGCTGAGTGGCCATTTAACTTAATGTTCAGTGAGCTGAAATAATGCCCCTTTGATTAGATATTCAGTGGGGAGATTCGACTACTCCTTGAGAGTGTAGGTGTGGAGTGTAGGTTTGAAAGTCTTCCTGCACACGTTATTAGGCCTCACAAAGAACTGAATCGTGTCCATGGTGGGCAGAAATCTTTAAAAAAAGGCCAAAAAACCAACAGAATCCTGCAGCTCTTTCCTCATTTTGTCCAAAGATGGGCATGTGATGCAGGGCCTCCTGGGTGAGCGAAAATAGTCGAGCCAAAAGTCAACATCTATTTTCTGCTTCTAACAGGACTTGAACCTCTCCCTTCTGAGTAAACGTCCTCTGCCAGACCCGTTCAGCCGCCACGCCCTGCTCCAACTGCACATTTGCTCGTAATGCTATCTCGTCTGATTGGGGTGAAAAGCCCTGTGATTAGCCAAAGTGTCTAAAGCCTGAAAATGAAGCCAAGAACAGGTGCAGAAGTCTTGCTTCCTCTCAAACCACTTGAATTCAAATGTGCTAAAAATCTATGATGGAACTTTTGACACCCACGTGCACAGAAACACTGCCGACCCCAGCTTTAATGAGAGTTCACAAGTCAAATCCAACCTTGACTGCATCTGTTGAGGTATGATAATGTCAGTGGTGTGCCATCGAGGCCAGTAAGGCCTCCTTCGCTGGACTAAACTCCATCAGAATCACTGACTTGTAATATTGTTCACATTATTCCCAACAGTCTATTCTTTTCATTTCATAGCAAGTCTCTGGGCTGTGGTGATTCCAGCAGTGTACCAGAGCTTTTAGCGACACTTCACCCCGTTAGCGAAGATGTTAGTGTCTTCGCTGCTAACGAATAGCAGCGTTAGCAGCGAAGACACCGGTAGAGAAATGAGTTTCTCTAGCTAACCCTAAACCAGAAACTAAAGCCCGTTCAGACAGAACAATGACACACACCAGGATTACAAAACCAGAAAAGGTAACTAATCAACCACGAAATAAAGAAGACAAAACCCAAAACTCATACCCAGAAAGGAACCACGACTTTATCCAAGACCACAAACCAAAACCAACTGAAAAAAACAGAAACTAAAACCCGCTCAGGCAGAACAATATGACACCAGCCAGGACAACATAATAACAATTGACTAATCAAACTACTTTGGAAAACAAAGACCAAAACCAGACCAACTCTGAAGGTGAAAGCCCAGCTTTTTGAGACAAACTTCCATAAAACCCAACTCTATACCAAAACCCCTAACCCTCGGACCAGAGAATGTTACCAAGATGGCGACGGCCTCTCGCCAGGACATCCTCTCTTGTACTTTTGTACTCCAGCCGAGACCAGGGAATGCAACCAGGGGAACAATGGCCTCTTGCCTTACAAGTCTTCCCTTCACCAATTCCAAAACCTAACCCTAACCAAAAAAAACACGTCAGAAATCTAACACCCAAGTGGTTTACAAGATGACACTAACCTACAACAAGGTGAACGGAGAGCAATGAAAACGTGCGACGGCCAGTGCATTGCCTTTGCTTCCTACCCCAAACTGCTTTGCTGTCGGGCAATCAGCTCATCACCAAGCTTTGCAGAAGCCTGATAATGATCCTGATCATTTGAATCAGGTGTGTTGGAAGAGGGAAACATCTAGAACATGCAGGACTGTGGCCCTCGAGGACCAGGACTGGACACCCCTGGTGTAGCCTATATGGTGCAGCTGTGGCTGCAGTTAATGGAGACTTGTTGAATTGCTCTAACTGGGTTTCTTGCTTTCGTAACAGCATTCATTCTTGCTACATGAGACACCTGTGATGCTGCCTTTCTGTATAATACCGCCTGTTTCTATAGTGATGGCGCCATAATGACGGTGGTTTGATTCAGGTAGGACGCCACTGAATACCCTGGAGTAAAACACCACTGGATAATGTGCTCTACATTGTATTTCTGTCATAGAGGAAAAGAAAACAGCAGCTTACGGTTATTAATCAACACTATTTATTATTGTGTGTGGACTTGGCAAACAACTTCAGGCTGGTGGGAGGCGGGGCCTTCGCTAAAACGTTGGAATTAATGGAAACGGTAATGCACTTGTGATTTCTCCCCTGCAATTTACGGTCTGATGAGTTATTATTTTATAAGAGTTTGATTAAAGGTTTGATTTCAACATTCAATCAATGCCGGACTTGTCAGATAGAAAGTTGTTGTTTTTTTATGGTACTTGTTAAAAACACTTACGCCCAATAGAAATGAAATCAACATTTTTTTTGTATCGTATAGTTTGCTTCATCTACTCTAGCTTTTTTATTATTTTATTTATTTACACGTCTGTTCCAAAAAATATATCTTTCATTGCTTGTCTAGTGTGTCTCAAGGCTGCCGAGCTGTTTGTCTAGTTTAAACTTGTCATTTGTATCACCTCAGCAGAGCCCTGGCTTCAGTGCAAATCTCTTTGCTTCCCATAGCTTGATACAGCCCAGTGTAGGGAGCTGGAGTCTGGAGGCAGAAGACCCACTGTGTTCCCAGCTGCTTGAGGGCAAATGGATCAAGACTGTCTCCTTCCCCTGGTTTAAAATCCTCAATCTGTGCCTTTGTTTTATCTGTCAAACTGTGCCCTGTTTAGTGTATTAGAGGCAGTTCCCAACTGGTTTAGCCCCCTTGAAGCTTTGGGAAACATTAGGTCTTTAGTTCTCTTCACATATTGTTCTGTAGACATGCCAATCATTCCTACAAATTCTCTAAAGATGGATATTAAGCTCCTTTTTCAGCTTTCAGCTCTTGAGGTGATCAAAAATAGCAATTCCCTTTAAGCGCTATAGCTCTTTATTCCAATCAATGCTTCAAAGTGTCCCGCCGTACGACACGGGATCCTTCGGTGCAGACTCGTGCGGAGACGAGAAGAAAGGAGTAAAACAAGGCAACCTTTTTCTGTATGTTCCACTAAATAGTCTTTTTGCAATGCATGAAAAAAGCTCATTTGTAGCAGCATTGTTTTCGTAACTCTTGCATGAGAAAAACCTGTTTTTTGATCACCTTTAATAGAAAAACAACTCTATGGCACCAATAAATGCAGCAGCCTGATGCTTCTGGTTTCTTATAATCCAAAAGCCTCTTTAAGGACATCCGCAGACACAATTACTGTATGTGTTAAACAACCTAATGTCAGTTAAAACTCCCTTATGGAAAACACAATTATATCATATTATATTTTCCATCGATTGCCGCAGTATTACTCCTTAGATTTATATGAAACTGCATTGCCTGAATCACAGCACCGTTTTAAAGAGAAGACTTCAGACACAAGTGCCTCACAAATGCCCTGACCTTAACATTATTCATATTGCAATATTCCTTTCGTGGTTCCCTTGAATACAAAAATGTGGGCAATTTAAAATAAAAGTAATGGTGCAAACACCATAGACTGGAAAACACTTATCTGTGGCCTTTGGGCACACAAGGAGATCTTAATTGTATCACATTTGATTATGCCCAAAGAAATTACAGATACATTCAAATAAAAAAAAAAAAACGTCTTGATTTCAAAGGACTTATGAAAGGAGCGCTCTCCGTTTTCATTATGGTACTGCAAATAAAAAAATCCAAATTCTTAACAATATACTAAAAGGCCTGACCCTTAGTGACCTACAGCAGACACATCATGTGGTTGTTTTGAGCTGAGCGAAACTTTTTGTGACCCGTCGGGCAGAAGAGATGAAAAGGATTTCATGGTCGCATCGCTGACGACTTGTGCCGATGCATAATAAGCATGCGAGAGAGAGAGCGAGTAAAGAAATGACAGAGAGAAGGAAATGCGAGATATATGTTGAGCATGTTTTTCTGCGTGTATTTGTGCATAGATAGACCCTCATCGGTGCCGAGCGTCTCGTCGCAGACAGCATGGGACTTATCAGAGTGAGCCAGGTTTTTCAGAGGCCTGACAGTTTAAGGAGAAGTGCCATGGGATAAGTCTCAATCCTCACTCAGCCATTACTCCCTCATACCCCCTTTTCTCGCTCTTACACACACCTGTGCAAACACAGATGCAGCAAACCCGGCGGCAAACCCTGACTGCTGATTTCCCCGAGATGCTCCGCCGAGGTTTCCAGCCTCCCTATCTCACCTACAACCCGAAACTGATAAAAAGACGACCGTTGCCGCGGAGGATGTGTCTTCTGAGACGCGGTAAAACAGTTAACAACGGATCTCGGGGGATGATCGGAAGTGTCTACATGCACGGATGAATGTAATGAAAACAATGCTTTTTTTGAAATAGAGAGAGAAAGCAAGCACAGAAAGACAAAAGCCTCGAAAAGATTAAAGAAAAGGCAATAACAATCTACTATAAAGCCAATAAAAGTAGGAAAAAATACAAAATAGAATACGATCTGGATGTTATTCTGACAATGGGTGAGCATTCGTGTAAGTGTGGTGCGTGTACTTGTACACTAGTTACCGGAAGGTCATTTGGAAAATCTGTCCCAAGTTGACTTGCTGGGTTTTGTTGTTGTATCCATGCAGCATCTCACCAAACAGGGTGTCATTGAAGTGGACATCCTGCCTTGGGCATTTTGGTCCCTCACAATTGTCTGACTGCAGGAGGCAGGAGCGCCCGTCCCCCGCCAACTTGTACTCCTGCACGCACCTGAGGAGAGGCAAAAAGCTGTCAATACAATGCCACATGTGTACACCTATCCACGATGAAGGGACACATGTGTGCAGGTAACATAGGAAATGAACATGTCAAAAGTAATGTCTAACCTGATTTTTGGGGAGTTTTTTTTTTTGGGAGACAGCTAAATCCAACCCTGAATCCTGGCTGTGCAGCACCGCTAATTCCAGGTTGTTACCTTTTGTAATCAATCTGGCTCCTTCTGTGGTAGCTTTTGACAAAATGCCTTTTTCATTTGCGAAGTAGTGTACTTGCCAATATCACTGTGGAGACTGTGGACACGAGCGCTCTGCTGGAAACAGTTTTAAAATGGATTCCAATGAAGTAGAATACAGCAGACTCTGCAGTTAGTCACAGTTATCATATCGCCTCCATTTTTTTTCTCCCCCGCCCCCCCTGCACAATGCTACCTTACAGACGGGGCTGGGTATCCGCCGCTGTTAGCTGGGGCTGAGTTTCGGGCTCATGTAATTGATCAGGTCTCATGGCCTCAGTAGGGAGGAAAGCACTGTCGTTGTTGGAGCAGTGTCTTGCTGTGGCAAGGAGGCAAAGCCATTTCCTTTTTTCTGTAAACCCACAGTCTGCCTAATTACGGAGCGAGAGCAGCACCGTTCAGCACAAAGTTATTAATTTCCTCTCTTAATTCCACGAGCCACTTTTTTAAAAAAGCAACGAGCCCTTTCATTCTTCTGCACTTTACAGATTGAGCTCAGCTCGAGTGATTAATCAAATAAAGTGTCATACATGGTTTGGTGGTTGTCCACTTGTATGTCACCGATGGCACCGATGTGATTAAAAAAGTACTTCAGTGACAAAAAGAAAGTCATGAGTTGCTCTTCTTGAATACCATATGAATTCAACTGGGGATACTCTAAACTGTGTTTTGGTGTTGGCTTCAATTCAGTGTCAAATGTAAGGACGCCTAGTGTTCTGGGAAATACAATGCCATCCTACATTATGTACCTGACACAGCTTAAGCAGAATCAGGATGTCCTTTACAGTCGTCCTCAAATGTATTCATCCCCTTCCATTAAAGAAAAGGCAAAATTCACAATAGTCGCTGAAATAACTAGAAATTGAAAAAAGTAATAATAAATAAAAATTTGCTAAATTATAATTTAGTGAAATAAGACATTGCTTTTGAATTTTGGCTGGAAAGAATAATTTGAAAAAAACAAACAAACAAAACTGTCCCGGACAAATTAGAGCACTTTGCTGATGAGCAGTGAAATCCAAACACCTGTCAACAGGTGCAGACGTCTGATTGAAAGTTACAGAAAACACTTGATAGCAGTCGAGGCAGATGGCCGTCCCTCCCTGAGCCTGGTTCTGTCGGAGGGTTTTTTCCCCCTGCTGGGGTTTTCGGTTCCTTCCCACTGTTGCGGACTGCTGAAGCTTATAGGGAATCCAAATGTTTTGGATTGTTGGGTGTTTCTGTCTCTGCCTTTGTGAAGCGCTGTGAGATGACTTGTTGTTGGAAATATTCGTTATACAAATAAAATTGAATTGAATTGAATTAATTGGCTCAAAGGGCTGTTCAACTAAATATTAGTTTATGGGTCCCATCATGCTTGTTTGCTTTTTTTTTATTTATATATATTTCTGTTGAACCACAATTCAAAGCAATGTCATGACTTTCATTAAGTTTTTATTTATTATTACTTTTGTCAATTTCAGCTTTTTTCAGTGACAGCTGTTTTTGTTTTTTTCCTTCTTTAATGTGAGGGTATGAATACATTTGAGGATGACTGTATATGTTGGCATGTTTCCTCAGTTTCCAAAAACACAACAAAAGTTGTCAGGATATATTGTCAACCAATCAAATCGATCATTGCAGCACTTTTCCCAGGAACCAGCCAACTTTCATGTCCATCATGTCCAAGAAGTTGTAGTCATGTAACAGAAAAACAGAGTAACTGAACTACATTCTTGAGGCGTAAAATCCCCTAAAGAAGGAAGATATCAAAAGAAAACAAAAAGTGTGGCGCAGTAATGAAGTAGCAGAGTGTATAGAAGCAAGGTATAAAAAAAAGTTGGTTGTGGTCGAATGCCCCTGACACAAACACAAACCTGACATGAAAGCGAGAACCCACTGATCCATTCTACCTGGTTTATAGGCCCAGAAGGCTTTTATAATGGGCTGGGAAATGTTTTCTTGCTACACATTGGGACAATTCAGGAAAGGACTGTTGAAAATGCCACAGTATAACAACACTGGCGACCAGCTGCAAGCCCCTTTCTCTCTTTTCTCACTGCTTGTTTTGGTTATTTTTCTTAAAAGAAAGAATTGCTTGATTGAAACATCACTCATGTTTGAGCCTATTTCACGAGGAACCTTTATTTTCAAGCCTGCAGACATCTTTCAGCTTTTTTTTTTTTTTTATTTTTTTTTTTTTAGCGCTAGTTATTCTCACCCGCAAAACATGAGCACATTGCTCGAACCGGGGTCATCTTCGAGAGGCACGAGCTGCTGGAGACACAGCTGTTCGCAGCCTCCATTGAAGCCATCCGTGCAGTCGATGCCCCTGGAGTAGTCATAGCAACCTGAGCCATCCTTCATTGGCCTCAGCCCCTCAGGACACTGCAAGAAAAGGAATTCAGAGTGAGAGGGAGAAGCGGTGGGAGGGAGAGACGCAGAAGAGGGGAGGGAAGGGGTGAGGCAGAGATTAGGAACAGAGAGTCGGGCGCAGAGGTCAGAATGTGCATTTTAATCAGGATCAGAAGACGGCGAGGAGGCAAAGAGAGTACGACGGGGAGGGACGAGAGGGTAGAAGTGGGCAGCGGGATCTTGAGGAAGAAGGTGGAGAATTAAAAGTCAATTATCTTATTTCATTCAATAGAAATAAAAAAAACAATGTGGAGGTGTTTACGCGCCCACCTTACAACCATCACCACAAATCATCGCACCGCTAACGCCAGCTGACACGGAAATCTGTGCCGCTATTTGCAACAAACAATCGTCCACATGTGTTCTGCTCTCCTGGTGAAGCCGCAACGCTGACAAGTGGAAAACAACACCAGGGGATTTCATGTTTATCGGAGAAGACGCGAACATCTCGTCCGTCCCCAGGCTAACGACGAGTGCAAGCAATGAAAAGGAATGTTTGCGCGCGTGTGGGGAATTGTCTGTTCCAGACTAATTAACTCGATTAACTTAAGTGTGGTAAGTGAGCAGCGTTGGCTCCTCTAATCATGGGGTCACCGAGACGCAGAAATATCACGCTTAGAATCACAAGAAGTCCACGGAGACGTCTGGACACTTGGCATAATAAGCTTTTATCAAACTTAAACACTTTGTTGTCTTCATTCGGTTCAACTTCAGAAACCCGACTAATTAGATTTCACCTACAGACTCTGGACAGAAGTCTGAAGGAGAACAATGGCTCCAATATCCTGACTTTAGATTGGCTAATTTACAGTACAGCGTTTAATTTATGAAGTGCATTTTTAATGAATTATATTTCCTCCAGCATAAGCAATACTACAGTAATCAAGCATGAATGCTACAACAGCAGAAGCGTTCTACAAAGCAGGACTCAATTAAAAATGCAATTTTGCTTATAATTAATAACTTAATAGCCCACTGTCATGATTTGGATTGCGTTATCCATCTCGGATGTAAACAAAAGATTATTGCACAAACAAAAACAAAGGCGGTTGCACTTTTCTGCTGGCTCAGCTCGTGTGTTGGAGGCCGAGCACAATGCTGACGGGAAACACTGGTGACAATTGCTGTATTGGAAAAAGACACAAAAAGAGGGAGGAAAAAAAACAGTCTCTTAGTTTATTGTTTCATATTGTGCTAAAATTCTGTTTCTAAGAAGCTCAGTCAATAAAAACAGGATCAAGGATCTTTTATTAACACTGCCAGGAGCAACATGTCAAACTTACTGCTTCATCACACTTATTTTGGTCGTCTCAGCTGGTGTCGGTGTAATATGATATGTATTGAGTTGTACAGCATCGTCTTGGCTCTGTTGGGGTTTTTTTTTTTTTTCCCAGCTTTTGTTCTCCAGTTGGCCATCATACGTGGTAACGCACTAGTCAACCTGGCAGGCTGTCAGCAAAAAGAAACTACATCAGGAAAGTGAGGAGCGCACTAATCGGAGGTTCCATTTCCTCCTGAGCGAAAAACACCGCGAAAGAAAAATGAAAGAAAAGTTCATTTATGTGTACGGAGAAACGCTTTATGTAAATTTCTTTCCCACAGCAAGATCGGAGTTTCACAAGTTGGTAATGTATCATTGCCGCGACTGTCATTATAGCCTTCTGCATCCTGCCGAGTGCGACATTAGACGCTGGAGTACAACAAAAGCATTTACCCCTCACATGAGCGGCGCGTAAAGACGAATGCATACGCAGCGACCGGCGCTATTAATAGTTTCTAGTAGGATTTCGACAGGATGCGGCCGCCGGGGGCCGATACCCGACGATCAACTCTCAAGACGGGAGTTTGGGTTTTTAACAGCTAACGCGGCGAAATTTCTCTTTATTGATATAACGCTTGTGTCTGAATAACACTATAAGGAGGCTCACATGAAATTATTTCACAGTTTGTGGAGCGCCGCTTTCACTGACGGCCAGCCTGACTCATCTGTGATTCCTCAGGTTCTGTGTGCCTGCGTGGGATTGGTTGTGGGCGTGTAATGACATACAGTAAAAAAAATAATAATAATAAAATAAAATGTTTGGTGTGTTTCTGCTAAACAAAAATAAAAAATAAAGAATGCCAACTGTTTATCAAAGTTCAAACAGTTAAACTGGATTGTTACTATTATTTCCCTGAGGAATGGTCGAATTAGGAAGCACAAAAAGAGAAGTATGTAAAGAGTTTCCACTGCTGTCAGTGCTTACAAGCGTCTAGATAACAGGAATATAGAAGTTACAGCCAAGTGTTTCTGAAACCTGATTGACCGACACGGACGGCGGCTCGTACCCAGAGGCGGCCCTGTTCGCTGGAATTGGGTCATCAGGCATGAGAGGGGGAAAAAACACACAAAGGTGGCGGTGTATTGTTGTTCCGGATTATAACTTTATGTGAACATTTCTGCCTCCAGGATGCAGAGTTGTGCGAGGTATGTGAACCTTTATCCCTTTAATCTCCCCGCAGTTGTTTATCACCGTGGTCCAGACAATAAATGTAAAGCTACCTGCTGATGGCTTCATACGGGAAGACTGTCAATATCTATGCTTCCATCTCTCCAAATCAAGCCGAATTGTGCCTTTTGGAATTAAAGTCATCGATTATGTTGGGTTTTTTTTGGTTAGTACATCAAATGCCACAGAAGATTCTGGAAATAAACTGTTTACAGTTGAACCATGAAATGGCAATGTTGTTTTCCTTTTGTGCCGAAAGGTGAAAAACGTTAAAGCTGTTCTTCTTGGCCTTCAAAAGTATTCTGACCTCACAAATTGGACGGTGTTCAAATTAACTGCTAACAACGGACCCCGACAAACACATGTTGTTCTGAGAGGACCCCGACATCTGAGAAAAAAATAAAGATTTTTCTTCGGCTTTAATCACAAAATGTGGTCAGTTTAAACAAAGCTTATAATACAGGACATTGGGAGGGAAATCCGAAATGAAATCGGCCAAAGTGAGATACAAAGAGAGACTTGAGGAGTAGCTTAACAACGTGAGAGATGTTTGGAAAAGACTGAAACTCATTATGGAGTCCTGGACGATTGACATAGTAATCATATATGTTCCATTCCCACCATCATTCCTGTGAATCCACTTACAAGTATTCTCTCAGTTTGTCATATGTACTCAGGTGTCATGTACCATAAGTATTTCTCAGGTAGCCCCGTTCCTCACTGCTATTATAAATACACACATTTTTAGATCCATTTTATACCTATTGTCACTTGTTTAATTTTCAATATGCATCGCCAGGCTCTACAAACGTCATGTTTCTATCTTGCACAGTTTGTTTATTATAGTTGTTCTTTGCACTAAATGGGATTGCACTTCATTCCGTTGTTTTGGTATAATGACATTAAAGGATTCTGATTTTGATAAATTTAACTAGTTGTTTATTAGAACTGGTATTTAAAGGGGACCACATGTATTTGCTGATGTTTTAAATACTGTAATTTTTTTTCTTCTTCTGCAAGACCATGCATATTATGGCAGTCTTGAGTTTCCAATGATTCCTATAACTGTGAATTTTCTATGATTTAATCATTGAAGCATCTTTGTCACACAAGAGAACCATCTTGTTTTTGTTTTTGTTTTTTTCATGGACTTACTATAGGTCTTCTGGAAATATTTCAAAATCTGCTGAGTCAAAAACAAACATACAGCAATTCTACTATTTGGTTAAACATTCTTTGGTCATTTTCACCTCAGCCAGGTACTTTCTGTAGCCATCCACAAGCTTCCTGTTGTATCTTTGACCACTGCTCTTCACAGAATTGGTCCGGTAAGCTGAATTTGTTGGCTTCCTGACACTGACTTATTTCTTCAGCCCAGTCAGCAGCTTCTTGATGGGGTTTAAGTCAGGACTTTGTGAAGGCCAGTCTTTCCTCCAGAGGAAGGTCTTCCTTCTTCCATCTCAGCCAATGGTGATTTAAAACCCACTTGACCGGACACTAACGCCTGTGGTTCAGCAGCTTCAGATTTACTGCAGAGATGCTTTTTGGTGGTTCTTGGTTGACTCTTGACCACCCTGACCAACTCTCTCTCTCTCTCTCTCAGCAGCAGGTGATTGATTTTCTTCCTGATCATGGCAGCGACACAACTGTACCATGAACTTCCTACTTACAGTTGTTTGCACTCAAGTCAATGATCTTTGCTGAGCTCCTCAGACTTTCCCACTGAGTGTTTGTAGCTGAGCCTAATGAGGGTATCAAATGGAGCCCATTTAAATCGGCTCAGAGGTGTCAGCAGCTGTAGTCAATTGTAATCACTCATGAAAAGTTAAGAGGCCACGAAGAACATTTGACAGCTTTCACCAAAACTGAGCATTCAGGTTGCTGTTTGTAGATTTTTGACACAATAGATTTCCAGAAAACCTCAAATAAATCAATGAAAAAAAGAAACTGCATGATTGTTTGTTTGTTTTTGACAAAGATGCATGTACTTCAATGATTCCATCACAGTAAATTCTGAATTATAGGAGTTACTGGAAGTCAAGACTGCATCATATACATGGTCTTTACAAGTATAAATAAACTTTTGTTCATGGCTTTATGTCAGTAGGTGCTTAAAATCTGTGTCTCTTCCATTCTTATCAGCAGTAGAACCTCCAAAGTCCTGATTGCTCCCAGAGCAGTAGCCGTTCTCCAGTTATCAAGGCTTTTCATGCACGAGATATTAACGTAGACACGGGAGCAATCTGCAGAGAGAACAGGTGGATGATCGGAGGGCGCCACCTTAAGCCTACTAAATGATGTGTTCTGACATTTGAAAGACCCTCACACTCATGTCAGGCTTCTATTTCGTTGCTACATGCGATTTCTGCCTCAAGGATGTGTTTTCCCATCTCTGTTTTATACACCAACGATCGCCGGAGCAATTATGGAAATGACAGACTCTGTAATACTGAGCTTAGTCAAGGGAGAGGTGAAAGGTCGGCA